AGGGTTCAACTCTTCACATCTTCGCCAACACTGGTTGGTTGTTGATTTATTGATGATAGTCTAGCCATTGTGATAGGTGAGAAGTGATTTTATTTTTAAAATATATTTTATTTTTTACAGAGTGGAAGCGAGTGAGAAACATTGTTGAGAGAGAAACATCAATCAGCTGCCTCCTGCACACCTGGGGATGTACCTGCAACCAAGTACATGCCCTTGGCCCAAATCAAACCTGGGACCTTTCAGTCTGCAGGCCTACGCTCTGTCCACTGAGCCAAACCGGTTAGGGCAATATCTCATTTTAATTTGCATCTCCCTGATTAGTGACATTGAGCATTCTTTCATGTCTCTTGGACATTTGTATGTACCGTATTTTTCGGACCATAAGACGCACTTTTTCCCCCCCCAGAAGTGGGGGGGGGGGGGGGGGGAAGTCCCTGCGTCTTATGGTCCAAATATAGCCTACACATATACTTTAAAAAAAAAGTATAGTTTTTTTACTTGCCCGACTCTGTGTGGTCTCTGTGTGCTTGCCCGGCTCTAAAATGGTTCTAAATGCTGCTGTTTACTTTACAGGGTTGATTACATGTGTTTATGACTGTGATGTTGGGTTTTAATGCAAATAAAATATTTTAGGACACTGTTTGTTTCAGAATCTTTTTTTCATTTCCCTTCTCTAAAAACTGGTGCGTCTTATGGTCCGGTGCGTCTTATGGTCCGAAAAATATGGTACTTTTTTTGGAGAAATCTCTGTTCAGGTCCTCTGCCCATTTTTTAATTGTATTGTCTTCCTTTGTTGAGTTGTATTATGTATTTTGGAAATCAATCTCGTCAGATATATCATTGGCAAATACGTCCTCCCATTTAGTGGATATCTATCTTGTTGATGGTTTCCTTTGCTGTGTAAAACTCTTTTACAAAGGCAGTCCCATTTGTTTACTTTTTGTTTTCCTTGCCCAAGGAGATATATCAGAAAAAATACTGCTGAGAAATGTCTGAGTTTTTACTGCCTATGTTTGCTTCTAGGATTTTTATGTTTTCAAGTCTTACACTTAAGTCTTTAATCCATTTTGAGTTTATTCTGGCATGTGATGTAAGAAGGTGGTCTAGTTTCCCTTTTTTTGCGCATCTCTGTCCAATTTTCCCAATACCTTTATTAAATAGACTGCTTTTACCCCATTGTTTATTTTTGCATCTTTTGTCAAATATTGACCATACAGGATTTGTTTCTGGGCTCTCTATTCTATTTCATTTATCTATATGTTTTTATGCCAGTACCAAGCTGTTTTGATTACTATAACTTTGTAATATATTGATAGTTTGATATCAGATAGCATGATTCCTCTTTGTTCTTCTTAAGATTACTGTGGCTATTCAGGGTCTTTTGTGATCCCATGTAAATTTTTGGAATATTTGATCTCGTTCTGTTAGAAATATCATTGGTATCATGTTAGGAATTGCATTGAGTTTGTAGATTGTTATAGGCAGTATGGACATTTTAATGTTAATTCTTAAACTGTTGATTCACTGTTAACTGGAAAGTATTACAGAGTCATTTGAAATATACAGACAACTTCTAAACCCACAGCTGGTTTCCCCCAATTAAGAGAAATGCTATCATTATAGCTATCTGATGTCAGATTAGAATCGTTGAATAAAAAAAGCAAATATGATCTTTCTAAAGATTTGAGGAAGTTGCAAAAAATAACCCCACCTCAAAAGAAAATAAAAATGGTCATGTTTTTGACCATTTGATTTCAGATAGAGGTGTTTCTCTCTCTCTTAAATAAAAAATCCAAAGCTTTCCCTAGCCTGTTTGGCTCAGTGGATAGAGTGTCAATCTGCAAACTAAAGGGTCCCAGGTTTGATTGGCCAAGGGCACAGGCCTGGGGTGTGGGCTTGATCCCCCCCCCCCCAATAGGGGACGTGCAGGAGACAACCAATGTTTCTCATCATTGATGTTCTAGCTCTCTAGATTCTCTCTGAAATCAATAAATATATATATATATATAATTTTTTTTTTTTTAAAAAGACCCAAGGCTTTGTTCCTAAGACTGATGCTGACCAGATCCTAACTTTCCTGAGGGCTTAGTGATTACGGGAGTGCATGTGCAGGAAGGAGAGAGGCAGGCGTGGATGTTCTTACATAAACATGAATACAGGAAGGGCCAGATGAAGAGATGCGCAGGGCAAGGAATGGGCAAAGCGTGTGGCACTTCCATGCCCTCAGCCGGAGCTCCACTCTCCCAGCATCTCCTCCACCTGTCCACCAACCCAGAAGCTCTCTGAATGGATTGAAACTTTCTGCATCAGTATCATTTTTGAGTGTATTTGGCATCCATTTGGTCATCATTTTAAATGTTTTGTTATTTCTAGCCAGAAAGGCATCCATTGCTTTATTACACTGCTTTATGATTAGAACCCTTGTTTGTATTTTCAAGATGTTTAACTTTTTTTAAAATTAAATTTGCTGCAGTGACAACTGGTTAACAAAATTCTTCAGGTTTCAGGTGCACAATTCTATAGCACATCATCTGTACACTGTATTGTGTGTTCACCACCCAAGTCAAGTCTCTGGCCATCACCATTTGTCCCCCCCATACCCTTCTTAAATAGAGAACTGCTTTTTATTGGTAGTGAAATATGTTCCCTAAGATGCTAGTGAATTAAAATGTAAATATGGCCGAAACCAGTTTGGCTCAGTGGATAGAGCGTCGGTCTGTGGATGATTCTATCTCATCGATGTTTCTAACTCTCTATCTATCCCTTTCTCTGCCTCTCTGTAAAAAATCAATAAAATACATATTTTTAAAAATGTAAATATGGTGATGTTTTGTATAATTATAACCAGGACAGAGAAGACTAGTACAGAGATGACTGATTTCACATGTAATCCTGGGAAACAATCTTACTGATGCAACATCACTTGGTTTATAAAGATATCCATTGATTCAGCTACTAAGGAGGGAAAGGGAAACTAGGAGACAATCTGGCTACCCACTTCAGCCTGCCCTATTCAGTAGATATTAAAACTGGTAGATCCTGAGATACTTGAGAATTTCTAGCTCTAAGTCATTTGCCTTTGTTACTTTTCTTTGTAAAGCTGTACAATTATATGAATAACTACTTTCCAAAGGATTCACATGGAGGCCTATAAATACTATAGAATCACAAACCAGGTGAAGGTGTGTTAGGCTGTTGTAATTTTAGAACTAACTTCATAAAACGACCCATTGTGGTGATGAGGAATTAGTACACGTTCAGACCCTGTGGAGCAGGAGGGCATGTTCCCGGAGCATGCTCCTCAGGATCTTATCAGAATTCAAGTCCAGGAACAGTGTTAATCTTGTCTAGGGGCAGAGAGAGAGCTTCTCCTGTTGAATTCTACTGTTTCATCTTAAACCTATCAAGACAACTCTACAAGGGGGTCCCTGTAATGACTACTTTCTCTAATAGTTAATTGTCAACACTGAAAATTATATAGCAGTGTGATCTTTACTAGTTTGATTTTTTAAATAGACATGTAACATTGTGTGTTACTTTGGTACATTTATATATTGTAACATGGTTGCCATTGTAGCAATATTTATCACATTACATAATTATAATACAATATTATTGTCTGGATCATCAATTTTTAACCTTTTTTAATCTAATAAAATTCTGTGGCACACCAAAAAACATATCATACTTTTTGCCAATCTGACAAATAAGTATGTCCAGCCAGTGTGGCTCTGAGGTTGAGTGTCGACCTATGAACCAGGAAGTCCTGGTTCAGTTCCCAGTCAGGCCACATAGGCCACATGCCCAGACTGCAAACTTGGTCCCCACTGGGGGTGTGCAGGAGGCGGCTGATCAATGATTCTCTCTCATCATTGATGTTTCTCTCTCTCTCTCCCTATTCCTTCCTCTAAAAAAAAAAAATATATATATATATATATATTTTTTTTTTTTTAATAGATATAATTTTGATTCATTCACACCATATGGTTACTGTTGTGTTGGCTGTTGTCATTTTTTTTATTTGACAATCTAAGGGAAAAGGGGTCTGTGCCCCTGACTAGTCAGGTATTGCATGTTTTAAAAAATTCTTGTGGTCATACAGCCGAAACCGGTTTGGCTCAGTGGTAGAGCGTCGGTCTGCGGACTGAAAGGTCCCAGGTTCGATTCCGGTCAAGGGCATGTACATTGGTTGCGGGCACATCCCGGTAGGGAGTGTGTAAGAGGCAGCTGGTCGATGTTACTCTCTCATCGATGTTTCTAGCTCTCTCTCTCTCTCCCTTCCCCTCTGTAAAAAGATCAATAAAATATATTTTTTAAAAAATTCTTGTGTCATACAAGTTGAAAACCACCAGTTTAGATTCATATACTGTGTGTTTTAGATCACTATGGCTTATTTACTACTTGTCACAAGTTGGTACCCTTAAATACATCCCTCTTATCCCCACTCCCTTCTAACCACCATTTCACTCTCCATTAGGTGTGTTCGTGCGTGTTTTCTTTTTTAATAGGTATGACTTTTTTAGATTCCATACGTAAGTTATTTCATAACAATACTTGTCTTTCTGTTTGACTCATGACATTTAGCATAATGTGCTCAAGGTCCATCACTGTTGCTGCAAATGGCAGGATATTCTGCTTTCTCGTGGCTGAATATACAGGTATAACATCTTTCTTATCCATTCATCTGTTGATGGGGATTTGGGGTTCTTTTTGTACCTTGGCTAATAATGCAATAAACATGGGAGTGTGTGTGTGTGTGTGTGTGTGTGTATGTATGTATATATGAATTATAAGAGCAGGAGTCATTGCAAATACTGTATCTCATGTGATATCCACAGCTAAATGGCTATCAAACCACATTTAAGAACGCTTTGGCAGTTTTCAAGAAACACTGGTCAAGCCATAAATAAATCTCAATGCATCCGTTAACACCTTCTGTGCACCTCCTCCTGTAGTTAGCATTGTATTAGGTGCTTAAGTGCAAGTTGTTTGACTCAATAAATTTAAAAAATATATATTTAAGACTTATTATTCATAGAGTTCTTGGCAGAGTTGTATGTTGAGGTTTCTACTGCTGAGAAGTTTGAGGTCTGTGCTGTCTCTCTTTCAGTCCCAAGAGCTCCGTTTTGAGTTCTCCAGGCTTTGGTGGGATTTCAGGTATTGTCTATTAAAAACAACAACACAACACACAAAAAAGCACGTGTTAAAACTTTCTTAGACTGTAATTAAATGTGACCTGAAAGACTTCAAACCAGGTCAAGAGGAAAAGGAAGTCCCTTGCTACTCAACGCTAAACCGGTATCATGAGAACCCACAGCTGATCTAAGTCCCTTTCCAACCCTGATGAGTCTATTATCCAGGCTGGGTTTTAAGTTCTAGAGGGGGGAGAGTTTGCATCACTATCACAGATTTGAATAAAACTTTCCATAGTTGGAAATTCATTCCTGTACTATTGACTGACTCTTCGCCTGTACAGAGCAGTGAGCAAGAAAATATAAAACGACCTTCAGCCTTTCTGGTGGTAATGACCTTCCCTCGACACTATGCCTCTCGTTGAGGATCTCCTCCATTCTTCTCCAGAAGAGGAGAAGAGGCAACAGGAGAAGCAGCGCCTGGTGTAGCTCCCCAATCCTACTTCACGGATGTGAAATGCCAGGATGTGATAAAATCACCACCGGCTGCAGCCATGCACAGACGGTAGCACTGTGGGTTGGTGGCTCCACTGTTGTGTGCCAGCCAACAGGAGGAAAAGCAAGGCTTACGGAAGGATGCTCCTTCAGAGGGAAGCAGCACTAAAAGCTCGACGTGGGGGAAACCATCCCAATAAACACATTTTGGATACAAAAATATAAAATAAATAAAACTACTACCTCCAGAAAAGATGGTCAGAAAAGTCTGAGATTACCTTTTTAACCACTTTAGTGAGATAATTATTCACATTCTTTACCATTCACCCATTTAAAGTATAAATAATGGCCTTCAGTAGATTCATAAGGTTGCGCATGCACCAGTACAATAAATTTTAGACCTGCACCCCCAAGAGAAACCCCATGCCCATCACCAGGAACTCCCATTCCCACAAAGCTTTCCCACATCCACGCCACTGCCCTGGGCAACCGTTAATATACTCTTCGTCTCAATACATTTGTCTATTCTGGACAAATTTCATGTAAATGGCCTTATACAGTATAGTCTTTTGTGACTAGTTTCTTGGCATGTTTTTAAGGTTCATCCATGTTGACACGTGTAAGTACTTCATTTCCTTTTAGGAACAAATAATATTCTATTATATGGGTATACCACATTTTATATGTCCATTTATCAGTTTATGGACAACATGGGTGGTTTCCACTTTTGGGCTCTTATACTTTTATGAATATGCATGTATAAGTTATTGTGTGGACATTTTCATCTCTCTCTAGAAGTAGAATAGCTGGGTCCTATGATGACTCTATGCTTAACTGAGGAACTGTCAGACTTTTCCACAGCAGCTATACCCTCTACATTCCTGGCAGCCCTGTATGAGGGTTCCAGTTTCTCCACATCCTCACCAGCACGTGTCATTAGCGAGGATGCTCTTTTTAAAAAAAAATTAATACCCACCACAGTGGTTATAAAGTGGTATCATATGTGGACCTTACATTCTAGTGGAGAAAACAAGTAGAGAAAAGGGAATAAAATAATTGCAAATTGTGACAGGTGCTCCAGGAAACAAAGGACTGAGACAGAATGGCAGAGGAGCAATCCTTTTGAAGCTATCCTCAGAGATGCAGGAGATACCTAAGCAGAAACTTGCAATTTTGAAGAAGAAAACCAAACCAAGATCTGGGAGAAAAGCTCCCCAAGAACAGAAAAAAAGAGGCCTTCAGATGGGAACAGGCTTGATGAGTGTGAGAAACGGCAAGGTAGCTGGTGTGGCTGCAGCCCGGGGAAAGGGGAGGAAATGGTGTTAGGGAAGGCCAGCGGCAGGCAGGTGCCTGGCTGTGGCACCTCAGGGTGATTTCTGCCTGACTGTTTGAGAGCAGGAAATGGCATGGCTCTACATGCAACTGGATGCCATCGGCAGGTTTTAGGCCCAGGGCCAAAGCGCTCCTCATTCCGTTTTAAGATCCCTTTTGCTGTTGTGGGGAGGACGGGGGGGGTGGGGGGGGGTAGTCTGAGTGCGAAGCCCAGGACCCTCCTGCACTCACCAGGTCGGGCAGGTAGTACCTGTGCACCACTTGGGACCCCGCGAACATGGCCAGGAGGCTGGCGGTGAACATCTTCAGGTAGGTGGGCCAGGGCACGCCCGCGGGCATGGTCAGGGGCTGGGGGAGGGAAGAGGTTGGCGTCAGAAGGTTCCCAGCTCAGGACTAAACCGAGTCGGGAAACAAGCCTCCCAGCAGCGGGGTGCAGAGTGAGAACACCTGAGTCCTCTCCCACCGTGCCCCCCCACCCGGACCCCCTGCCCCCAGGCGCTGAGAGGGCAGACGTCCCCTCCAGGCCTGAGGCCAGTCTCCAGCGGTTTCTTGGCGTTGGAGGCTGGGCCTTCCGAATCCAAAGGCAGCTCTGGGGGAGCAAGGAAACGGCGGCCCAGCGTGGTTTCCCTTCAAACTCTAGGAGGGGAACTGCAGACCGCACCCCCACCGGCCCCACAGGCGGCCCGCGGAGACTGTCCCGCCCACGGAGAGACGGTGCCGGGGGAGGCCGCACCGGGGGAGACCGCACCGGGGGAGGCCGCACCGGGGGAGGCCGCACCGGGGGAGGCCGCACTGGGAGAGGCCGCACCGGGGGAGACCACACCGGGAGGGCACGGCCAACAGAGGGTCGGAGCGCGGGCGGAAGTGGCTGCCGGAGCCGGAGCGGGCGGCCTGTAGACGGAACGGAAAGGGCAGGGGCCGGGGCCCAGCCGGACTGGAAAGCGGGTAACGCAGCCGCGCGCACGTGACCCGACCGGAAGTGGGCCCTGGGGCCGAAACCAGAAGTGTATGTATTTTAAACCGATTCCCAGAACTTCCTGGCTCCGGCTCTTGTCTCCCTTCATCCCTTTCCCTACGGTAGGGTCCCCCTGGCGGATATCGAGACTTGGGGTCGCGATGGCTGTATTCCGGCACCATTTGCCCCGTGACATGCGCACATGGCTCGCCTTAAATTACCTTTTACAAGCCAGCGGGAGCCCGGCGCGCTGAGCAGCCAGAGCTCAGGTGAGGTCACCCTCCACGAGTGACGTTTAAAAGCCCTGTCTCCTTGTGCCCGGCGGCCTTTGCTAAGGAAACAGCCACCTCGAGACAGCTAGCTATACCCTACTGCTGCGGTGCCACTGGAAAACAGGGAACCCGAAATGGACAGTATTCACGCATTTTTAGGTTGTGCTTTGGTTATGGGTTGATTTATGTTAAGCAAAAGGTTAATACAAGACAATACGGAAAGATTATAGTTTGTGTGTATGAGGTGAATCACGATACACTCACTTTTTAAACAGGGAGGTATATTTGACATAAACCTCGTATTTAAAGCATACAATTTGATGAGGTTTTACCTATGTGTATACCTATGTAACCATTCTTACAATCAAAATCATGAACGTATCTATCACAACCAAAATGTTTCTTTGGGCCTCTTTCTAACCCCTCCATATCGCCTCCTTCACTGGGCAAGCAAGGTACATAAGCAAGCTCGCTAGGCTCTTGAAAGGGAGAGGAGGATTGGGAGGGAAGGGAAACAAGGTGAAGTGACTTGGCCCCTCTTTTGTTGCCCCATCATACAAGGTCTCTTCAAGTAGAGGCCTATTTGGCAAAGACAGGAGATTTTTCCAGGGCTTCCCTGAGCCAGGCTCAGAGCTGAACAAGTTTGTCTTCCAGACTGATTCAGGTGATGAGAGAGGCACTGGCAGAATAGGAGCCCCTTTGTTGATTGCCTAACCATTCCCAAGTTCAATGTCCTGCTCCCCAACAACTCTTCCGGTAAACTCTTCCTGTTGTAAGACAGAACTAAGAGAAGCAGCGGCCCTTGGTCTGCTGAGGTTACGAATGGAGCTAGCAGACCCAGAAGATGCAGCACCCTGCAGTGAAGGAGATCCTGGCAATCCAAGGGTAACTTCCTGAGTGAAAACCTAAGAAAAGTTTGTAACTCTTTACATATACTGTCAATCACTAGAAATCAGTGAGGCAAGCCAACTGCTTTAAAATTTTCTTAGACTGTGATCCTAGGTGGAAGATACCCTGTTTATTCATTAACTCAAATATTCAACGGATACCTACTGTTTTGTACTGGTTTCAGCTCATCAACAACCAATGTTGTGATGGAACCAGCCCTTATGGAGATTATATATATATTAGAGGCCCAGTGCATGAATTCGTGCATGGGTGGGGTCCACCCAGCCTGACCAGGGGGAGAGGACATGGGCGGTTGGCTGGCCTGCCTGCTGGTCGAACTCCTGGTCAAGGGGACAATTTGCATATTAACCTTTTATTATATATGATAATATACACTGAGTGGCCAGATTATATGTTCAGAGATCATAATAATCTGGCCACTCAGTGTGTGTGTGTGTGTGTGTGTGCGCGCTCGCACACATATTTTAATTGACTTTAGAGAGGAAAGGAGAGGAAGACAGATCAATGATGAAAAAGAATCATTGGCTGCCTCCTGCACACCCCCTATCATGCCTGCAACCTGGGCACATTGCCCTTGACCAGAATTGAACCCGTGATCCCCCAGTCCTCAGGCCAACACTAACCACTGAGCAAAACCAGCTGGGTAGATCTTATGGTTCTTATTATGGTTGTAAGACACCTCAGCAATAACCATCAGGAAACTGAGGTCTGATCAAATAATTGAATTGATACCCCTCCCCTGGGAACTGACCTTCTGACTTCACAACCAAGGACATTCCCTTTCACTTAGACCACATTCCACTTGCTAAGACCACATTCCACCTGTTAAGACTATTATCTTTCCCCTCTGGACTTTCCCAGAATCCAGATCCGCCCAAAGAATTTCCTGCTGAAAAAGCCCACCCAGAGTCCTTTAAAACCTCTGACTCTCAAACCCCAGGCGCTGGTGCCATTTGGGGGTTCAGCCTATCTGGACTCCAGATGACCTAATAAATTTACAATCCCGTACCACTTTTGGCCTCCTTTGGCAACCCCAACAGAAATGTTGAAAAGACACTGGTTTGTTATTTACAAGCCTCACTTGGGCCCCACAGCGAGGTCAGAGTAGAGAGAGTGAGCCTGCATGTGCATGGGCCTGGGTTCTACTTTATTGGGTCAAGGGTGGGAAGCCCAGGGTTTCAGAGTTCATTACCAGTGGATTTAAAATGAAAGAGTGGAAATTAAAGTAGTGGAAAAGGGAAAAAAAAAACAACAAGTAGTCCAAATGGTCATTTATTGAAATCAACTAAGATTCATTCTTAAAAAAGCCTGTTAGGAGAGGCAAACAGGCTCTTTCATCTCCGTGTGTGTGTGTGCGCGCGCGCGCGTGTGTGCGTGTGTGTGTGTGTGTGTGTGTGTGTGTGTGTGTGTGTCTGGCAATGCATTTATTCTAGATAGCCAGTCTATGAAGTGGATGCCTCTTGGAAATAAATGCCTTGGCAATCAAAGCTTAAGTTAGGCACTTGCATTATCAGAAGAAGATAAGAAATCAATTGTCAGGGTTTAAGTATGCATCAGGTTCTGAGTAGACCTATTAAGAGACACAGTACTGGTAAAAGTTCTGAAAAGTTTTAAAATATTAAGTTTTAAACAATTTATATAATACACATTAATGTGTATTTATTTACCATGAAAGCTCTTTTCTTGGATCCCAGAATGAAGAAGCCACATGACTCTCAGGGCCACATCCATCTCCCAGCCCAAGTGTTACATTAGTGAGAAACAGACCTTTGTTTCTGCAAACCACTGAGATTTTGGAGTCATCTGTTTACCCCAGCTTAACTAGGGGAAACTAATACAGCAACCATGTTTTTCATTATGCAAACTAGAGAAAGATAAAAAGCGATCTCCGTTAAAGATTATATAATGAAGTCCTTGTACGAACAGTAGTGACAACTTGAGAAATAACGAGACAAAAACTAGCTTTAAGAGCCATTGAGAAAACAATAAACTACAACACAGGGATAGTCTGGAAGGTTATAAAGAAAACGTGATGCATGAATGGCATCTACTACCATAGTCTTCAAAGATTCATATTTTTATATATCCAACTAAGCCAGACAACAATTTATGTCAAGTTCTACATTTTACAAAGCAGTTTTACAATCACCTCAATGTACAGATTAGGAACCTGGGGCCCAAGATAGTACAGTGGCCTGGACTCTCAGGTTCTCTGATTCCATAGACTCTTCTTTCTCCCACATCCCGCTTGATAATGAATGTAAAAACAGCTTTTAATCAGCATAAAAATTTGGGTGAAAAGGCCTGGATAATCCTGATCGATAAGCAAAACAGCCCCACCTACCTACCCAGCGCCCCCAGAAGGCACCCTCACCCATTCCCCCCCATCACCGCCCACCACGGAAGAGTAGGGATGGAGGGGGGGGCAGGAGCGCACGTCAGCAGAGCGCTCCCCCGCCTCCATTTCTGTTCTCCACCCTTCCCGAAAGGCCAAGCGGCCAGCAGAGGACACACCCGATTGGACTGTCCCGCGACACGTGACCCTCACACGTCCTGGGATTTGGCGAGGCGCAGGCGGAAGCGCCCCGCCAAAGAGGGGTTTGCGCGGGGGGAGGGGGAGCCCTGAGGGAGGGGGCGGGGCTTGAGCGTTCGCCGCGGTCTCCGGTCTGCCGGCCATCGGGTCCAAGCCTCCGGTCCCTGTACCGCTGCCCCTACGCCGCCATACCGTAGCGACCAGGACGTGACCGGAGCAGCCGTCCGCAGGAGCGGCCGCCGGGAATGGACGCGGAGAACGCGGGCAGGTAAGGCCGGGGCGGAGCGCCGCCCCTCCCCCCGCGCCCCTCGCGGCGGGGCGGCCGCGGCCGCGCATGCTCGCTGGGGGGCTTCAGGTGCCGCTGCCGCCGCCGCCGCCGCCGCAGGTACAAAGGCCGGGGCCGCGCGTGCGCACTGCCCGCCGGCCGCCGGCCCCTTCACGCCCGCGCCGCCCCCGCGCGGGGTCTGCGGCACCGGAGCCCCTCCCCAGCCTTGGCCGGCACCTAGCTGGCTTTTCAGTGTTAGTACCAGCCAGCAGCCTCCTGTTGTATGTCTGGTTGCCCTTCTTGGCTACGTTATCCTGCAAGGAGCTGTAAACGTGGAGTATGATCATATCCCTTCAAAGGTTTCATTTTTTAAAGAAATAAATATATATATATATATATATATATATATATATATATATGTGTGTGTTGTTTTTGTTTTTTTACAGAGAGGAAGAGATAAACATCGATGAGAGAGGAACATCCATCAGCTGCCTCCTGCTTGCCCCCTACTGGGGATGTGCCCGTGACCGGAATTGAACCTGGGACCCTTGAGTCTGCAGCCAAACCGGTTAGGGCAAAGGTTTCATTTTGTAGTTAAATTTATATGGCTCCCCGCCCCAAGATTTACTAAAAAGCAACGTCAGGGGCTACAAGATAGCTAGCTAGCGTTGCCATCCTGGAGCTCTTGAGTTCTGAGACCTTGACTACCCCTCCCAAGAAGTCATCGAAATGTCTTCCCATGGTCTTGAGGACGAACTTCAGAGACCATTTTTAATATGTCCTTTGGGGAGTGTTAGTCGTGTTGGAAAATCATTACAAAACCAGAGATTTCGAGATTTGAACGGGCAGAAAACAAACAAAAAATTTTTAAATAGATGATGGTAAGTAACAGGGTCTTTTTTTTTATAAAGTGATGCTGTGTATTGGAATAAAATACTGTTAGGCCTATGAAGACTTATCCTGGCTTGCAGTGGCTAATGGGCCCTGCACTTAAGGCTGGACACTGACTTCTCTGGGCCTGTTCATGTCTGTACAATAGGGCCTCGCTGGAATCCAGTTCTGACATGCTGTGAGTCCGTGTTATGTGGAAAGGGCTAAGTAACCAAAATCGTCTGAGAGTGTAGGGAAGGAGATGACATGTAGATAAAGTGGGAACTTTATCCTCATTTTGTGGATCGAATCCTGAAGTTAAAGTACTCTACTTCTTTCGCAGAAGAACTTTACAAGGAACTTGTGGAAATCACTCTGACCTTTGCGATCTTACTTCAGATCATGATGGAAACTTGGGTAAACCCTACCATCAAATGAATTCTCTGTGTTATAAGACCTTATTTAGTACCTTATAAAGCAAAGTAACAGGCTGATAAAGTATTTAGCTCGAAACTGACCTATATGCTGTCTTCACTTAAGCCATAGAGTTATAGACCACTTTTTAAATTTTGATATGCAAAACTTCAACCTCAGGAAATATGAAGAATTCTGTCTTAATCCCAAAAGGAGATTATCCTTGGGAATTCTGAAATGACAGGCTCCCATAATCCAAAGAAAGTGGTTCTCTGTCACCCTTACCTTGTGCTAATCAAGGAGTGGAATGGGATGCTGGGTAATAATGAGTTTGCTTTTTACTTTGGACGATTAACTTCAAAACATTCAAAGAGCCCTGGCCAGGTGATTCATTTGGTTGGAGCATCATCCTGTAAAGTGGAGGGTTACGGGTTCCATTCCTGGTCAAGGCACATGGCTAGGTTGTGGGTCCCATCCCCCTGGCGCTGGCAGGAGGCAGTGGATGGATGTTTCTCTCTCACAGGAGAGAGGCCTGAATATTGAAAATACAAACATGGGTCCCTGTTTCTTCCAGAGGTGGAATCTGTCTTCTTAACGTGTGGACTTTGATCCTAAACAAAATGTTTGCTTCTCAGTAGTAATTGAGCACGTTTGCAAGGAACTAGTGACCACTAGGCTACGGTATAAATTCAGGGGAAAAAAGTCAGAGTCACCAAGCCAGGTTATTCCCTTTTAGCGAATGATACTAGAGTAGACAGCATCAGGAGGGATGACAGGAGGTACCTAAAATATTTAAGCATCTCCTGTTTTTGTTATTGTTACGGCAAATTTATTACATACCAGGCACTGTTTTAAGTGTTTTGCACAGGTTATGTACTTTAATCCTCACAACCAGTAAATTGGGTGCAACTATTCCCATTTTACAGATGTGGAATCTGGGACATAAAGAGGTTAAGAAACTTGCCTCCAGAGCTAGTAAGTGGCAGTGCTGAGATTTGAACCCAGGCAGTGTGGCTTCAAAGCCTGCCTCCCTAACAATTGTGCCATACCACTGTGTGTGTGTGTGTGTGTGTGTGTGTGTGTGTGTGTGTGTATGTGTGAGAAGATGGACTGATAGCAGACTGATTAGGTGAAACCAAAGCTGGTTTACTACTGAAAGAGTCAAATACAGGCTGAAGGGAGTTCTGTACCGATGTGCCATTTTGTTCTACCCCAGCTTTGTACTTTTCACAAGTTTAATAGCCTCAAGGTGTTGATGAAACGATAAAATGTGTCCCGCTTTGTGGAATGGACGGGTTGAGTCGGAATCCTGATCAAGCCCAACTGGCTGGAACAGTGAATCAGCTTTTACAAAAAGAGACACAGTGTTTTTGCTTAGGTGTGGAAAAATCAGTGATACAAGTGTGAGGTGAGGGAGAGAGGCTAAAAGGGCAGTGTTCACTGATGGTGAACTCAGTATGAATGGATTGGATACTGCGGGTGCCAATACAGCCAATGTATTGGGCTCTGTACTCTGTCTGCAGGACGAGGAAGTAGATAGTCCTGCCAGGTTTCAGGAGGATGAGGCTCAATCTGAAGTATTCCTGTGTGTGTGTTTGCTTCTGAGCACCAAAATGACCAAATAGTGAGGAAATTGGAAGTCATACTACAGTATATGAGCTGCGGACTCTGGCTTATCCTGTATCTTTTTGTTTACAGTGTCTAGTGATTGTGCACAACGAGTACCCAGTAATACATGGTGAATACACACACTTCACTTAAGCATTATTGAATGCAGCCTTTAAATGGTTATGATGGAATCAACATCATTAAAATGTCCATACTACCCAAAACAATCTATACATTCAGTGCAATCCATATTAAAATACCAGTGGCATATTTCACAGATCTAGAACAAACACTCATTTTATAAATTTATATGGAACCAAAAAGATTCCAAATAACTGCAGCAATCTTGAGAAAGAAGAATAAAGTTAGAGGAATCCCAACACCAGATACCAAGTTATATTACAAAGCCATTGCACTCAGACAGTCTGGTACTGGCATAAGAGCAGGCACATACTGGTAGAATAGAACAGATACCCCAGAGATCAACCCAAGCCATTGCACTCAATTAATATTTAACAGAGGAGACAAGGATATACAATGGAATACAGACAGCCTCTTCAATAAATGGTGTTGGGAAAATTGGACAGGAACATTTTTTTAAAAATGAAACTAGGCCCTAACTGGTTTGGCTCAGTGGATAGAGCTTTGGCCTGTGGACTGAAAGGTCCCAGTTTTGATTCCAGTCAAGGGCAAATACCTTAGTTGCAGGCACATCTCCAGTAAGGAGGTGTGCAGGAGGCAGCTGATCGATGTTTCTCTCTCATCGATGTTTCTAACTCTCTATCCCTCTCCCTTCCTCTCTGTAAAATATCAATAAAAAATATATTTTTTTAAAAAAATGAAACTAGGTCACCAACTTACACCATACACAAGATTAAACTCAAATAGATAAAAAATAAACAACTTAGATGTAAGTCGTGAAACCATAAAAATCTTAGAAGAAATCATAGGCAGCAAAATCTCAGACATTTCTTATAGCAATTTGTTATATAGCTCCTAGGGCCATGGTCGGCAAACTGCGGCTCGCAAGACACATGTGGCTCTTTGGCCTTTTGAGTGCAGCTCTTCCACAAAAATACCACAGCCTAGGCAAGCCTATTTTGAAGAAGAGGCATTAGAAGAAGTTTAAGTTTAAAAAATTTGGCTCTCAAAAGAAATTTCAGTTGTACTGTTGATATTTGGCTCTGTTTACTGAGTTTGCCGACCACTGTCCTAGAGCAGAGAAAACTTTCTCCTAAGGAGAAAATAAACGAATGGGGCTGCATCAAAATAAAAAGCTTCTGCACAGCAAAAGAAACCATCAACAAACTGAAAAAGCCCACCGCATGAGAGAACATATTTGCCAATGATACATCAGGTAAGGGGTTAATTTCCAAAATAGATAAAGTATTCATACTACTCAACCAAAGGAAGACATAAAGAGTCCGACCAAAAAATGGGCAGACGACCTATCTAGATACTTTTCCAAAGAGGGCATACAATTGGCCAAGATACATATGAAAAAATGCTCAGTATCACTAATCATCAGAGAAAGGTAAATTAAAACAATGAGATACCACCTCACATCTGTCAGAATGTCTGTCATCAACAACCAACCAGTGTTGGCGAGGATGTGAAGAAAAAGGAACCCTAGTACACTGCTGGTGAGAATGCAGACTGGAAAACAGTACGGAGTTTCCTCAAAAAATTAAAAATGGAACTTCCATTTGAACCAGCAATCCCACTTCTAGGAATATATCCCAACAAACCCAAAACACCAATTAAATGTATGCATCCCTGTGTTCATAGCAGTGCAATTTACAACAGCTAAGATTTGGAAACCAACTGGTTTTGAAATGATTAATTTTCTATTTCTGAGCCCCAGAATTTTTGAAGATCCTTAATGACCCCTTAAGTATGCTAAGGGAGCCACATTTCAGAAATCATTTTTTAAAGTTTGGAGTCCTTGTGCTGGCCAGTGAGCATTGTCCTGTGTACCAAAACGTTTACTTTCTTATCAGGCACATGCCCAGGTTATGGGTTTGATTCCTGGTACAAGAGTCAGCTGATTGATGTTTCTCTCTCTAAAATGAATGGAAACTTTTTTTTTTTTTTAAGTTCAGACCCCTTTTGTAATGTGAATGGTGTCTCTCTAATTTTTATATGCTTTAAGTTTGGTTTTTCTTTACTTTTAAAAATGTTTATGTATTTACTTTAGAGAGGGAGGGAGAGAGGGAGGGAGTGAGAGAAGGAGGGAAGGAGAGAGAGAGAGAAAGATATCAAGATCAGTTTTGCTGTTCCACTTCTTGTTTATTCATTCATTAGATGGCTCTTGTATGTGCCCTGACTGGGGATCGAACTTGCAACGTTGGCGCTTTGGGACGACACTCGAACCAACTGAGCTGCCCAGCTAGGGCTTAGGTTTGGCTTTTTGTGAAGTACTCAGCA